AAAAGGACCGAAGTCATGTACCAACTCGCGCTTGGAATACCCTACCAGGAACCACACATCACAGTCAATGAGTATATATATATATGTGTGTGTATACATAGTCCTTCATCCTGGTGGCTCAAACTGAACCACCGCAATCTTGTGTGTTTTTCTCACACTGTCTTGTTGCTTTTTTCGAGTACATATTTATGCTCTTTTATTCTAACAAGTCAGTACTTTGCTGTTCACTTACGTGTTAAATGGTTGTGCAGTAGTTGTGTCTTATCCTTAGGTTTAGCAGCCGAATAATTTCCAACTGCCAATCTGATTCCCTCCTGACCTTCATGTACTGTATTTATTTTGGGTCATGCTTGGTGGGTTGGTGCCTGCCTTGGTAGTCCTTTGTCTAAGTGTTTAGCATGCCTTAGCATGCCTCCTTGCCTTGTTTAGCAAGTGCCTCCAATATCTGGCTTTGGGGCATGGCCTCATACCTATTGTACTTCCCACTTTTATGTCAGCCAATGTTCTAAAAATGCCATCTACAAAAAGTTTAGAGCTGAAGTACATTCAAAATTATAAGGTTTCACTGCTACTATCATATGCTAACACAAATATTATATTGTCAAAAGTATGATTTTTTTACTTTTTTTCTCTTAAAAGCTTAAATAGAGTGATCAAAATTAAATTTGCCTGAAAACCTTATGTTTTGTGGAATAAAATTTAATGTACAGTATATCAATATATACTTTTCAATACCTATGCCCCAAGTACACTTTCAAGTACAGTAGAGTATATACTTTTCAGTAAATAAATATAAATCTTTACACAATGACATTTGGCTTCATGTTGTATAATGGAAGCTATAACAACACATGACAGGTTAACAATGGCGGTGTTAACGGTCTCCAGCCAAGATGGCTCACCCCAAAACTGTCTTCGTGACCTTAGTCACAACTCACCTTAATACTCACAAACTTGCTCTATAATTTTTTTTTTTTATAAATGCCATTTCAAGCAACAAATCGAGTGAGAATCTTATAGGTAACATATTTAACAAACAACAGTTATTACAACCAAGCAGTCTATGAAAACCCACTTTTAGTATACTGTATAGTCAAGTTCTACTCCCAAGAAAATGTTCAAGGTCTGTCTTCCACTGCTAAAATGGCCCTTTAATATACCATCAACCTTAGCATACAAGACCCCTCACTCAGTACAGCTGCAATCATTAACGGGAATATAATCTCCTTAAGAATAACAGATTTTCTGTTCAAATTAATTATGCATCTCTTTCACAGCTTTGCATTTTCCCCAGCTTTGCATTTTCCCCATATCTAGTAATTAACTCCAAACAAATACATTCATGTATCACTTAAATTCAGTAAAATAGTGAATGATAACATTTCTAATTTTGGTTAATTTACCTCAGTAGCCATACAACTATGTTACAAATAGGGAAAATACTAGTATGCCAATGGAGACAAACCCAAGTGTGTTACAGTCGTTGAAAGAAAATGGAGTGGTACGTCCAGTAGAAGTTGTGAGAGTGCTGGTGGCAACACTTGCTCACTCACCAAGTACAACTTGTTCACTTACCCAGGCTAGACCCATACTGCTCTTAAAATATACTTGCCAACCTTAATACAATGAAAATATGCTTGGATGAATATTATGCATTCACTCAAGCTAGTACCTTTAGTGTATATTCTCATTCACTAGAGCCTGTATTTTATGTTACTCCACATCATTATTAATACAACACACACACAAGCCTGTTGTTTTCACACAAAACCCGGAAAGTGAAGCCAACGCCAAATAACATTGACTGCATATATTGACAACCTATGGACTTGAACAGGCAAATTTATCCTGCTACCCAACAAATGCATCCATACAATAATACAAAAGACATTACTGATAAAACCTACTAGTATTATCCCAGTGTCACATGAATATACCTTGAAATGTTAACACACACATTCTTAACATTTTTCTCTAGTAATAATGTGAACATGCTGATATTCCACACACTTCTCTCCCACAAGTGTCACAAGGCAGAAACTGAGAGCCACACAACACATCAATACAAACTGTTTTTCCCACTGAAAACAGATTTACAAGTCTGTCTTACAGTGGTAAAAACATTATTATCATAATTGTACACAGGAACACCAATACATAATACACAAGTGAAGTGATAACAAGATCATCTTCACCTCTGATGAATCTCATCAATATTGAGGACTTGTAAATTACTAAGCATTCTTTTATCACAGTCGCTATCTAATGCTATCCATTGATCACCACTAAAACATTCCAAAATATAGTAAAACCCTAAAATAATCTTAGTAGCTCAAATTTGTAATTGAACTTTCATAAAGGTTAATCTTTTCACAAAGTAATCATTTTACATTAAGAAAACACTGTAGAGAGGAAAGTCATCGTTTTACCCAGTGAAAACGGACTCGAAAGTCTGTCTTGCACTGATTAAAACAAACTTCAATTGTATTATAGAGCAGCATTTAGTAATGGCATCAATGAACTGCATCGCATGTATAGTTTTCAACAGGTTCAAAACATTGGAGAAGTTGTCAAATGTATAACTGATATTGGTTGCTGAAGTAACACACAATATTAAGCAGTTCTTTAGGAGAATCTTGCATCTTGGGTCACATTTCACAAGTCAATTCTACATACCAAAAGAGCCCAGAAAATATCTTCCTCAGAAAGCTGTGTTTTACATTATGTTCAAAACAAAACATTTCCTACCTAGTAATCAATGCATGTTCCTCAATCAATACATATAAAGTATATCCCTTATGAACATATTCATGCACTACATCAAAAGAAAAATTAAATGAAAAGCATTTAGAAGTTGCACTCAAAAGAAAATAAACTAAAATATTGTATTATACAGGTCATATAATTGATATACTAACTTATTTAAAAAAGCTGCTTCACATTTGAATAGATTTGCATATACCATGATACTGTTTTGTGACATCATACATAAAGACATAGTACAAAGAGCAGAATATTATATATTGCAAGATAGCAATACAAAAATGGATATTTGTGCAGAACCATAATATATTGTATTATATTAACTGTTTAGACCTGAACTGTGAAGCAATGTATCGTGGATGAGAGCAGACGCACAGTAACTACAACACTTTACAACAAGGTGGAAAATGAGCATCAATAACATAGCCCATAAAATTGCTCTCATGTCTCCCAATTGATATAGAAGAGAACAGGTTCATTTCTCTGAAGCTACGAGGAACTCTGTCTGTACTCAAGATCTGAAATGAATGTGGCCTTCTGGACACTGTGTGTAAAGCATAATAGTTTGTAGATCCTGAATGGCATGTAAAGTCTGGCTGCTCAAGATAACTGCTTGCACAAGCAAGTTGTTAATGGAGAAAATGTTGTAGGTACATAATGAGCACTGACACTCAGCTGCCTGGTTTAATGGACTATATACAACAATGCTTCAACTTTGGATTCAATCCAGTCACCTCCAGTTGTCCTAAAACAATTACTCATCCCACTCAAATAAAAGTGAATTTGTCCAGATATTCACTATCACTGGCAACATTTCTTTCATTCTGAAGAAATACAACCAGTTCATATGTTGATAAAAATAAAGTTGGTTTGTAGGAGGAATAAAGACAGACAGAGCAATACTGAATCCCTTCTTGGGGAGTTGAGTGTCACCTGACAAACTTGGTTTCTACTAAGAAATGAAGAACACAAAGGTTAGTTCCATGTGTAACATCATCATGGCCCAGAGTAATAAATACCAACCATACACGTTCAGTAAATAACTACACTCAACTGGTCAAAAAAGTAAATAACTAAACTAAACTGGGATTTTGTAAACTAGTCAAAGGAAAACATGTTCTATTGTAATGTATACATCTCATAAAAGTATTCGTTATATCTCTGCACTTCAAGTATAATGGCTTTATCATTAACCTTTACCAGTGTGAAGTTCTACTCATGCTATCAAACATCAACACTCAAAACATTCTCCCTTACCTCCCTCCCTCTTTCTCAAAACATTCCATCCAACAACCTAATACTTCATTGTTATTTTAAATAACTTACCTGTAAACTTATTACTAATTACTTAATTCAGATTACTGTACTATCTTGTAACTCTTCAATGTCACCATTTCCCATAATGTCTTACTCATAATCACCAAGGGTTTCAAAAGCACAAAGAAATTAATCTTGGAAGCACGTAATCTCCCCAAACAATATTCTCACACTAAGGCTACAGAGTAACTTCCTGAGCTTGAATGCTCACATTTGTCAGTGTTGGAGCAGCAGCTACTTCACATGGATCTTTGTCTTCGCACACAACCTAAATCTATTTGGAATTGTAAACTCTTACAGCCTCCCTTTTCAAATATTTCCAAAAACTTTCCACTAACCAAAGTCAAACTTCAATTAATATAGACAATGCTTGGACCTGATCTTATTCTCCTACCCAAACACCAACCTTATTCTCCTACTTGGGGTGGATAGTAGAGCGATGGTCTCGCTTCATGCAGGTCGGCTCTCAATCCCCGACCATCCAAGTGGTTGGGCACCATTCCTTCCTCCGTCCCATCCTAAATCCTTATTCTGATTCCTTCAAAGTGCTATACAGTCATAATGACTTGGCACTTTCCCCTGATAATTCCTTCCCTCTCTCCTACCCCACCGGCACCATTATTTTCCTACGTCACCACCTATCAGTTAATCCACCTAGAACTACACCCGTCTGAATAGTGGGTTCAACAAGCACAACTGGGTTATATCCCCTGCCAAGCCAATAACTTTGCCGTACACAACAAATAAAAGGTTGGTTTATATCACTAAAGCAGTAAATCATCATTGCATTAAGTGCAAACATAATATCACAGCTAATGACAGCATGAGAATTACCTACACAATCCAAATACAAATTAAATGAACCAACCTGGCCTCACTAGCGCCTTATATTTACCATCCGTTACTCTTAACTATGTTACCTTTAAATGTTTCATACCACCACAGTGCAGCTCCAGGGATTTCTTCGCATTCATTTCTGCATAGCACAGCTGCAAAAACGTGAAAATATACAATGTTACTGCTAATATTCAGTGAATAAAAAGATTTCAAACAGTTAAAATAAATTACAAATAGTCACAAGAATAAGACAAAATTCCTACCCTAGTGACAAGTGTTTCTAACATGGTCGAGTCCCATTGTTGTGACCAGTTAACACCACAACAATTTCTATGACTCGGCTTGCTCTCACAAGTAAACCTCTGCTCAAAACTACACTAAACTGACCAAAAACTGGTAATTTGAACACTATAAACCTAAAGAGATTGAAAAATAAGTTATGTGCTTAACTTCTTAATGCCATTAAAGATAACCAGGTTGTTGAAGCTTTGAGCATCTTAAAGATGTTAATTATAAGAGGTACAATGCACAACTGTACAGAAATAAAATATTGGAGTTGAACTGAGTAGTCGGTAATAAAATTAAAAGCAAATCTAACTACTGTACTTCGGAACAGAGAAATTTCCACTTCTCATTCCACGAGACAGAAGGTCAAGTAATTAATATTACATTTTCAGCAAATGATAACAGGATATAAAATTAAAAAGTATTATGTTGCTCGGAATGTCTTTATGTGACATGTCATCACACATCCCAGTGAAACGCCGAGTAAATGTGTAACAAGAAACTCAAGACGTTTTTAATTCATAATGTCCAGTCATCTTGATTTGTGAAGACCAAGGCAACCCTGACCAGCTGTGATGTATAGCCAGAAAAGTGAAGACATATTATATATTGTATGTTACAATATGCTTGTTAAAACACCTCAATATCTAGGGTAATATGTGAGGACTAGGCAGCCAGTGTCAAGTGGACTAACAAGCAGGGTGTCAAGTGTAATGTCAGGTGGAACAACAAGTGCTTACTATCAGTGACTATGAGGAGAGACATCCAACTCTCCGTGCCCAGCCTCCTAGTCATTCATACCTGGTGCGCTAATTGCCTCTCTCAACATTCACGTTTTCCTTATATTGTTTCCTAAGGTTGTGGATGGAAATGGCTTCAACAGCACCTTCCTTCAATGCATTCCCCTTCCTAACCATCAGTTTAGGGAACTCAAACTTCCTTACATCTCTGACTCTACTGTTTGTCCAGCTTCCACCAATGTCCTCTTCTCCAACCTCCTTTAAATTTAAATGGGCTTCCTTTCTCCATATTGTCTATTCTTCCCTAAGGATCTTGTATATAGTAATCATATTCCTCTGTATCTTCTCTCCTCTAAGGTTGTGAGGGGAACTTCTCTCAATTTGTCCTCATTGCTGAGTTCTCTCAATTCCTGTACTAAAGTAATCATATTCCTGTACTAGTTACAAACCTCTGAACTTTCTCAAGTTTCTGTTTATGCTTCAAAAGGTGTGGGGTTCCATGCTAGTGCCTTCTTTGTTTAGAGTCTTAAATAACAGTCTTATGTCTGCTAACCTCCCATATGCTGTTGCTATTATCCTGTTCATATGAGTTTCTGCTGTTATTGTTGTGATTCATCAAAGTCTTTCTGTGTTTTCACCTTTACTCCTCAAAACAGTGTTTGTCAGATTGTGCTCCCTTAGTGTCCTCTACTCCAGCCTTACAGGTTCTTCTGGCAAAGCCACAACATACGTTCCAGCTACCTACGCCTCACACGCCGAAAAAAAGTGTGCACTCCCTAGTGATTCCTCTCCTAAGTGCCTTCCCCCAGTGACCTGACCCTTGTGATCTACCCACAAGCGAGACAAAAAAAACCAGGGTTATACAGTGCCTCCCCCTGGTCCTCCTGAGTGACAGCCCGGTGCAGATGTGTGCGTCCTGGTGTGGATGAACCTATACCCTCACCCCCAGGCCCGTGGGTGGACCCACTAGGAGACCCTACTCCAGCAGACGCCCCTTCCTGGACGCCCACCCCAAGGATCTCCAAACATCCCCATCCAGCAAAACATGCCTGCCACGACCTCACTTTCCCGACGCCCTGACCCCCAACGACCCTCGTCTACCCCTGAATCGCAAGGCGAAGCCAGGTCCAACCATACACCCCACAGATCTTGGAGATCGTCTCCCCAGTTACTGAAATCGCAGAAACCAAGGCGACCTCCAATGACACTACCTGGGACTTTACGGACAACGAAGTAGAGGTCCCCTACGCCCATCCTCTGGCGGATGACCTCTCGGTTCAACCACCGGATGCCTGGGGAACATTGGTGGATGAACTGACGAGACGCCTGTTATGACCACGCATACACCAGCATGATCATACTGAGACGGGTATGATGTGTTCAGACTATACAGATATCTCTTGGCTGATAGCCTCGTATCACAAATATTGTAATTATGATATAATCTTATGTGACAGTATATTATACTTAATTTGTGAATTGTCAATGTATGACATACACCACTAGGTACATTATATTTCAGTATCAAAGATGTATGCCATGTAATTGTGGATTTATATTAGAAGTGTAGTTAAAGCAGTAGCCTAATGTCATGGAGTTTTGAAAAACATCCTTGTATGCTTATTGTATGTAATGCTACATAAATGCTGTATAGGTAACATTATGTGGACCATGATGGAGAATGTATACATTTAGTTTCCAGATGTATTATTCACATGTATACTGTGTAATTTCCATTTTAGTGTTGTTCCTTGCATTGTCCTCTTGTCATGACATATACCGAGATTATGGCACCGTGAAATGTATTCCACCTAGACAAGTTTTTGATACACATGTTGTATATATCTACTTTATTTTGTATTCTTGAATAAATAAGTATTAACGGTTGGGCAAGGTCTTGAATCCTCCCTTAACCCTCCCTCCCCTCTCCCCCCCTTTGATGTACTGACTTGCGCTAGCGAGTCCATTTCTTATCAATACAAAATCTTTGTGTACATATTTTCATATCCTGATAAATTCTCTAATGTACTGAATTCTTATTATGTAAGGTTGTGTCTTATAATCTTTACTTTGCTGTATATTAAATTAGAGGTTCATGAGTGAGTTATATGAGTGAGTTCATGAGTAAATGAGCTAGAGAGAGATTTGAAAGTTGAGGGTCAATTGACTCGTGGAGTTTGGATACAGTGTCGCCCCCCGGGCAGCTTGGCTCAGGGAAGTCACTACTCCTTGACCCTTCCAGGCGAGCGCATCTGTGGCGTTCTGGTCCGAGATTTGTGACCTTATTTGTGTACTGTGACTGCTAGATAAATTATCATGTAACAGTATGTATTAACATGGATCATTTTTACTGCTGTTCATCATGTATAGCAGGTGGTTTATATGTCTTTGTGAGGTGATATTCTGAGGAACTTAAGTAATGCCGTGGTACTCTATGTGATATCGTTTCCTCATGTGTTACTGGTTGTGACACCACCACCCTAGCAGCATATAGGCGCTAGTGTTCCACTGCGCCAGCCAGGCCAAGTTCCTGGTGTTAGCAACAGTGATTGATGCCAGATCTTTTTGTATGATCATGCCCAGTTGTTGAGAAACTGGATAAAAGTATTTATGTGCAAGTTAGTAGCTTGATATTATTTTAATGTTATGTGGATTTATATTAATGCCAGTAAACTGGATTTTTTTTGCTAGCCTTTCACTCCCCTAGAACATATTGATATTTGGCCAGGCTATGTGTTCCCGTGATGCTGAAGGTTACTCCCTCATTACATTATTATCAGGTTCTTGTCCGTGTCTCTTAACTGTGAAATGGGGGCACTGATTTTGATCCATAATATATAAATGTAAGGGACTGTGATACAACTTAATGCATAACAATGCCCCACCCTGGCCTCCCCTCTACGGGCTCCCTCCCTAGCATTTGGAGGGAGGCTCGAGTATGGCGGGGCGTGGGAAGGCCCCGAGCTTCCTCCCATTTGTCCCGCCCTGTGACCTCTCAAGACTCTGAACTCGCGGAAAAATTCAGGCACATGCTCAATACTGAGCTACCGTATGCGGGTGGTGGTGGTGGTGGTGGGGGGGGGGTTGCTAATGAGCTGCGGGTTAGCTAAACGAAGTGTTGCTTGTTTGTTTTCTTTCTAGGGGAGTTCTCTTGCTCTTTTGAGGATGTATCTCACAATTTTCTACAAGGCAATGGTCTGTTTTGTCTCGCCTACCTTAAAAGGTGCCTTCCCTGGTAGATAGCAAGTATGTATACTTTAAATAAACAGTGGTTCATAGGCCATTGCTCTCTGCACGTCTCTGAGGAGGCCAGGTTCTGACTCTGGTTCCCAGTAGGCAACAAGAACTCTGGAACTGATGACCTCAACTAATATAGCATTGTATCAGAATGAATAGCTTCAGAGAGCCAACAGGGCTCCCAACATAAAAACTTTCTTTGTATTGAACAGTCTTTGAAGTGTTCCTATACTCAATCTCTACAAATGATCAAACCTTTCAATTCATAAAATACTATCTCCAGGCAAAAGACCTGTTCTACTGTAAATTTTTCCCTACCCTATATTTTTCCTTTTCCCTATATATATAAATTTTTATCAGCTATTAAATTATTTTCATTAAACTTTCAATGAATATTACAGGATATACTGGATGTGCACCTCTTGGGCACACGAAGCCTAAATAGTTCTGGCACAAAATATTAACCCTTACTCTTCTACTACAACACTACTAGCATAATGTTTACTTCTTTACTTTTCCCCTGATAGTTCGTTTCAATTCAATTCAATTCCTTGTGCACATAACCCATGGGAAAAACCCAGCATTAAATGTAATGAAACGCCATTTTCTGGGTGAGACCCGGAAGCTTCTCGGAATTATCCAGACTGATATCGATATATTAGATTTTGGCATCAGTCAATGTGCATGGAGTTCCAGGCTTACTGAGGACCACGAACCAAAACCTGGCCTCCCCTCAGAGAGTCACGAGGAGTAATGGCTATAGAAACCAATGTGGTTGGAAGAATTCTATGTCTGCCATCAACGGGGTCAGGCACCCAGAAAGGTAAATACCCCAAAACAAACCCCTATTCTGGTTAACATTGCTACTGAAAACCGAACTAGTAGACAGA